AATTCAAATGCCATTTGTTGAGATTCTTTCCATTCAAAATGAATACCCTTCCTTAATAAATGATACAATGGCGCAGCTATACTAGCAAATTCTCCTATAAACCTATGGTAATAATTTACCATACCTAGGAATGATTGAACTTCGGACTTATTTTTGGGTTGTTGTAAATTAGCTATATTCTTTAAATTTTTATTTAGAGGTCTTACTTCCAACCCCTTTATGGTATGACCCAAATAAACTTTGGTTTTCGGGTTTGGACCCCACCCAGAGCAAAAATTTTTTTTAGATTATACGTTCAAAAAACTTAAAAGTGATTTTATATAAATTACATTTTTCTGGTTTTGATGTTTGTGGAAGGATATTATATTACTATTGAAATTATTCTGGATAGTATTATTATAAAGTCATTGAGAATAATCTAATAAATTATAATAACATATTATTGATGCATTTAAAAAATATATTTATTATATATTATCGAAGATATGGTTATGATTTGTCGCCCCCCCCCAGCTTTTATATGAATGGACCCCCTCTAAGGAAAATTCCTAGCTACGCCACTGCTCCTAAGACACTTTTCTCTCTACTGGCCTTTAAACCCTTCTCAAATATTCTCTTAAAAACTTCTTCTAACCTCTGATTATGTTGTTCTGGCGTTACACCCGTAATCAATACATCATACATATAATAGAAAACCCCTTCTAAACCTTGAAAAACGGATGCCATTGTGCGTTGAAATATTGGAGCTGATACGATGAGGCCAAAAGGCAATCGACAAAACGCAAATAAACCCTTAGATGTGGTAATTGTAAATAATTTACGATCTTCCCTAAGAGGTAATTGTAAATATGCTGTGGAAAAATCAATTTTAGAGAAATATTTACTTCCCTTTAAATTAGCTAAAATTTCCTCAATTCGAGGTAATGGATATTTAACCTCCACTACCCACGGATTGAGAGTGACCCGAAAGTCGGCGCAAAGCCTTAACTTTCCATTTGATTTTCTAGTCATTTATAATTTATATAAAAAATCTATAGAAAAATGAATAAAATTATAGTATTAAAAAGTTTATAGCAAAATTGTCTGGATCGCATTAAGTAGGTATTCCAAACATACTGCATTTCTGGTAAAATCAGATATTTAAATTTTAAAAAACATGCTCATAAAATTACATTAAAAAAATAATACATTGCTGCTAACATATAGATAAATTTTATTTAATAATTAAAGTATTAATAAAAGATCTGGATGATTTCTATAATATCATCATGAGTAAAAATATAATTTTAATTAATATTATTTTTTTAATGTACATATTTTTTACTATTTCTTAATTTAAAGATATAATGTTAATATCTCTGACTTCCTTTTCCTATTATTTTTATTCCTGATTTATATAAAATAGGAATTATAATTTTTTTAAATTATCTAGGTTTCCAATTAATAAAAAATTAAGTGGAACCATGCTTATAAGATAGAATTTGGATCCCTTATTTATTTTCAAATATTAATTAAACACATAGTTTCTAGATATAAAAACATTTTATTTACTCTTAGAAAAGGAAGCTTAAATTCAAAAATATATAAATTAATTAAAAATATAATAGCTTTACTTCAATAAAATTTTTTTCATTATATAAAATATAATATTTTTCATTATATAAAACATAATATTTTTCATTATATAAAACATAATATTTTTTTATAAACTTATGTTTTCATATATTATATGAGGCTATTTTTAATATTTCTTTCATTTAGTAATATATTAATTTATCTATTCATCCAAAAAAATTTTCAATTTTTTACATGAATTTTAAATTTATATCATTTTATATTATAAAATATATATTCATATTCTGTTGTAAAGCTATTTTTGTTATAAAAAAATATACAATTTATATTTTAAAAATGTTCCATCTTGTGGAAATTTTTTATTACTTTATTTTCTTATTATATATTATTATAAAAATTGTTTAATATGTATATATAATTATTATTTTTTATTCATTTATATATAAATTTTTGAACAATAGGTAATTATTTTATATTAGATCTTTTTGAAAAATGTTATATTTTGCAATTTATATTTATTTGCTTATTAAATAAAATTTAGAAATTTTTCTAATAAATACATGATATATTTACCGTTTTAATCAATAAACATAGACTTATTAAAATAAAGGTTGTTTCTTTGAAAATGGAGATTATTTTAGACATTTTTTTTAATCGTCTACAGGATTTAAAACTTTACCTCAATATAAACAATATAAGATTCTTTAAAAATGGGGCATTCAATTGTTTCAATTCAAATAATAAATTTAAATGGGATTTATATTTTAAAAGTGAAGTCATACTTTCATATAGGCTATTTCACCTGGTAATGCATGAAACTTTCAGCTGATTACTACCCATTATATCCTTTATATTTTTGGAAGATTGGGCCTTTCACATACATTCCATAATTTTGTACAAATTCCTATTACTCTATAGCGAATCCTTCAAGATTTCTTGAGTTGATATTGCAGAAAGACTATCTTTGATAACATAATATAAAGTTTGGCAGGCACACCTGATTTCATTATATTCTAATAGGTCATCCTAATCCTCAAAATCATTGTCAATATCATTTAATTTTACACCATATTCAGTAAATGACTTACAAATTGGATGCATTATCCATAAAAGTAGCAATTAATTTATCTGAAATCCCACTTCTTACAATAACTGCAATTTTATCAAATGAATGGGTTCCAAACATTCTTCTATGCCAAGGCTCTTGATTGCATGTAATCTTTAAAAATAATATATTACCCAGCGAGCTGTTATTACCATAAAATCACCGGTTTATGTAGATCACAAATCTGCCATGGTGCAGATATATGATTGAGCCTTTAAAATATTTTTTAAAATATCTACTTGATTCTCAAAATTTTCTCTATTCTTTCTCTGCAAAAACCTCCATAAAATTTTATTAAATATTCCAACATTACTAAGAATATCTAGAATATCATATCAATATTTATATATATATAAATTATATAACTTTTCATCATTATAATAAATTCAGGCTGTTCAACTAGACTCAAAGGGTGTAAACCTAGAGGCCACCTGAGCCATATATTAAGATATCTTACGGCTCCTCTCAACTTTAGAAATGTTTTTAATGCCTTTTTAGTGGGCCAATGCATTATACGACTGCAATAAAAACAACTATTTTATATATCGTCTGATTGGGTGACTCTCTATCTCTAAATGATATGCCTTTATTAGAGCTCGATTTTAATTGTATATATGCATTTGGCAACCTTATCTCCACATTAGGGTCATTCTTATAAGGATATTTTGATTTTTTAACGAATGAATTCTCATCAAATACAAGTATTAAAAGTTCCGAATCACTGTATTCCGAATTATTACTTTCATATCCATCGTCATTGGTAAAATTATTGTTTCTTTTTCGGTATATTTATTTTGCTGAAATGGAATAAAATTCTGTCTCCAATTCTTATTGTGCCCGTCATCTTTCAATGATACCAAAGTAGCTAATAGACTCAATACGAATAACATGGCCAAAAAGTAGAATATAGATTTTCTTGGGGGTTTGGAAAATATCGTGCTAGGTATTCGAAGGCAACTATAAGGTAACCCACGCAACTTCCTAAAGCCAACATGCTTGAATAAATTGCATAAAACAACTCAGCCGATTTGGTATTTTTGTAAATATCCGATAAAAGTGCCTCGAAAAACTTATCAATTTTATTTTGTGTAATTATTTGATTTATTTTATTAATGGTATTAAATGAAGCTGATATACTAGGTTGAATCATAATTTCATGGTGTTGTTTACTGGTTTTCTTCTCTGCTCTTTTAGAACAGCTTATAGGAGGTATAAATGCTTAAAATATCTCATTTAAAAAAATAAATAACATAAAATTATCATATTAATAATAGACTTTAATATGTTTAACAAAATTTATAGAGGAGTTTGTTGAACTCTTTAATATTTTTTTGTGTGTGTTGTACATTGTCTTTTTTGACATGAATTATTTTTAAAAAAATTTAAGATTTAGATTTGATTCAGGGGAACTTATTTCCATAATTTCACTTTCACTACCATGAGTGTTAATCATCCTAAAAATTAAAAAATATTACATAAAATAGGTAATGATATTCAATCGAGTTAAATTTATATATAAAATATATTCTTTACTTATTTCGTTTTGGTGTTGTATTTTTTTATCTGTCTATCTTTAGATGAGTTGTAAAATTTTTACAGCTTATTTTATCTGTCAATATATCTAAAATATGGTATTAGGTGAATTATTCTGATATTATATATTCATCTTTATAGATGTGTTCGAATCTATTGAAAATAAATATAATCAAAATATAAAAATATTTCAACTGTATTCCTTTTTTATATGTCTTGCAGGATTTTTAGTCAAAACAATTGGTATATTTATTTTAAATTCTGTTCTATAGTGTTTTATAATTATGTAATATAACTTCTAATATTATGCAATTATATTTGACCTCCATAATATTATATTAAATGTAGGAAAGTTATAATAATGTAATATTCAAATAATGTAACCTTTATAAGATATTAAAATATAACAAGGATTACAATAATAAACGGCTTATAAAACTTGAAATTATTTAAAGCAATTTTTTAAAGTTTTAATATAGTAATCGTGGGAGTGGGATATCCCAAATGTTTTAAAATCGAAAGACCCATAGCAACAGGTTCCATAACATAAATTCATTACATATCATACTTTTTAATTAACACTAGCCATACAAAATATATATGAACGACTTGTCATTATCTGAAAATCTCTGCAATTCGGATTTATCACAAGATTTGGAAATGGGATACAATTTTACAAAATGTAGCCGTGTACCTTTAATTTTTTTATTGGTGTAAAAAATGTTTCTTATAAAGGCCAGAGAATATGAAAATCTTGACTGAAAATTTAAAATAAAAATAAAGGAATTGGTGGTTGATCTACTTAAAAACTCGGCATGAATTTAGAAAATAAACAATAAAAATTTTTCCCATAAAAAAATTTTAAGTAACGTTTTGCGTTACCTTTACTCGTGCCTCTGGAAGAAGGTAACAAATGGCGTTTTATTTCTTCAAAAAAATAACGCCGATAGTGACGACTTCACTTTAGAGCACTACTTAAAGGTGATCAACGCCAATAGTACTTTTTATATCGAATATTTTTTTTCTTGGATCCTCTGTTTTTAAAAACCAATTAAAATAGGGAGGGGGTTGGCTTTTTGAATTTAGAATTACCTTAATATTTTATGTTTATTTCATAATAAAAAATATTAAATTAATTTTTAAATAGGAGTTATAAATTTTTTTAAAACCTTTTGCAAGTCCGTGACTTCTATTTTAGGAAAGGAAATAAGGATTTTTTTTGCCCTGTATATAGCCTTTATATTATCCATTATCATTTGTATATTATATATAAATATTAAATTAAATATTTTATATCTTTGACTTGTAAAAAAATAATTAGTGAACTATTTGCCTTGGTAAGAAATTTCAATTTTTGTATTTGCTATGTTTTAGGAAAGTGTACCTCCAATTATGGCTTTTCATTTAGGCAGTTTGGGATTCTTAGCACCTTTTGACTTTACCGATTATAAATTAATGATTAAAGAAGTATTGCAAGGTAATTTTATTTTCGTTTTTTCTAATTCTCAATTTTATGATACTTATCATTATCAGATTAACTTGCCAATGATTAGATATGAATCTTATTCTCTTTTATTTAAAATAATAATTTACGTGTAATTATTCAAATCAAATTATTATAAATAATAAAAAAAATTTAACAGGAAATTGTCAAATGATACTTAGGAGTCGTTTAACGTGTGTTCTGAATAATCCGGATATTCTTAAACATGAACCTTCACATAGCAATGTAATTTTATATTTTCTTTCTTAGTTGATTCACCCAGAATTACTAAACATGGCTCTCATTCATTTATTAAAAGAAATACTTTTAATTTACTGCAAAAAAATGCCATATTTAAAGAAATTATTTATAGGTATTTAGCACAATAAGCATTTTAGAAAAAATTGATTATAACTTACAAAAATTTATTTTATAATATAAAAATATATATTTATTTATTTCATATTTACGTTTAAGCAGATCTAAGTAATTAACGAAGCCCATATTTTTGTTGTATATATTTCACATAGATTTTATTTTATCACCGTTTTTGGCTCATCGTTCTAATTATTGAATATCAAATTTGATGGTAAATAAACTGTTCTTATCTATCTATTTTTAGTGTATTTCACTTTTACATTTGATATTTACCAATCATGATCATCACAGCGAATGGTTGCATCATATTTTTAATACAAGACGTTCAAAATTCTTAGGACATACAAAATACAATTATCTTCCCCTACATATTATTGAGACCATTGAATAGGATATTATTTGGGTTAACTTTTCATAGTTTTTATCAAGGAGGCACCCCCTCCCATTTCAACTGGTGCACTGGAAGGAATAGTAGTGTTGTATTTTATAAATAACTGTTTTAATATTAAGAAAAATTATAAAATGGGGAAATCTTTAGTTTGTGTGCTAGAAAATTTTCTAGGTTTTGTTTTATATTTAAATTATTTTAAACATATAGCATATACTCATAAAATAGAAGTGCTATGACTATTTTTATATAAGCTTGATCCATATGGGCAAATAAGGGTTGGCAGTTCCTTAACCATCACTTTCTAATTTTTTGCATAATAATCATACATATATTGATCTTTTTGCAAAATATCTAAGCCATTTGCAACAGTTTTAATTACCTAATTTTTCATTAAAATAACATACCGACGCATATTCTTGCATGAATTTACACTTTTGATATGGAACTCGTCAAAAAATATGGAAGGTAAAAATATTCTTCCTATGTTATAATTGTTTTGAAGAAATTGGGGATTTATTTTGCTTTAGCATCTAATTTTATTTTATTATTCTTTTAAAGCACTCTGCATCGAATGTTGCAACGAAATTTAATTTATTTATCAAATGTACCTTATCGTAAAGATCAAAAATTACAATGGGCATAAAATTATTTTCTTTTTCCGATGCATCATTTTCATCACTTATTTTAATATTATAAATGATAAAAAGATTTAACATTATAAGGTATATTGCAATAGTTTTTCTTAACAGCCAGAAAATATATTGGCAACATATTTAAGCGACATTTCATATTATATATATGAAAATTTCGGAGCTATTGGTAATGTATAATTTTATTTCTCTAATAGAAATCTTAATTCAATCTCCTAATGGAAATTTCTTGCATTTTATTCTAGTGTATTACAGTGTTGTGATGATTTAATGAAACATATTGACGATTAAATTAAAACCCATCCATATAAAATTATTTTCTTTGCAAAAATTATTAAAATATAGACAAAGCATTTGAAAACTCTTTTATTACCCCTTTTGTTATTTTAATTATTTTTGCAAAGAAAATAATTTTATATGGATGAGTTTTAATTTAATCGTCAATATGTTTCATTAAATCATCACAACACTGTAATATATATTTTATTAATTTCGCTATTATAATTTATGATATATTCGATATAATATCCACTTAATGATTTTCTTCAGTCTTTAATTCTAATATAGTTGACCGAAAAAAATGTTTAAACTTTATTCAAATATAATGAAATAACCCTTTGAGGTGCATGATTTAATTTGATGCCAACTACAAATAGATTAAATCTTAAAGAGTAAAGTAATTTTTATAGAACCACTTAAATACTAAAATTAAATTGATTTTTTTTCATAATATTTTTCTATATAATTTATAACCTATTTATATTTGATACAGGAACTAATCCAATATGGCATTTATGATTTTTAAATTTACCAATATTAAGAATTTTTAAAAAGATCAGATGTTTTAAAGCTATAAAATCATTCATTAGGTCGATTAAAACAAATGATTAAATACGATAGAGGTGCAATCAATGCAACTTCCCCAATTTTCAAATTGCCACTCCTCTCGGTACGGTTGGGGTGGGTATTATAGTATTATACCACTACTGTTTATGAATATTCAGAATTTTTAATTATATTTTATTTATATAGTAAATGATAAACTTTTTCTACTATACCTGCAATTTTATTACCCCTGAAACTGTAAGGAATTGATATTAAAAAATTATGTTCTCTTAAATTGATAGGCTATACCAAAGTTAAAACTAACAACCCACAATTTGATTTTATGCAAATATTTTTTTTTTATTTTTGAAAATTTTATAATCACATTTTTATTTTGATATAAACTCTTGCTTGTTTTTGTCCAAAAATTTATATTGTTTTTAAAATATTGACACGATGATACGAATAATAAAATATTTTTTGTATTTATTTAAAACGAATCAAGTATTCTATCCGATTTCTATAAGGTCTAGTTCTAAGTTTAGTACCACCATTAATTTCATTCAATTGGATTATATTTTGAATCAATTCCATATTATTTTGATTCAAAAATTATACTAAAAATCAATATTCAAATTAATTTTATCCATTTTTTTTATATTTCCTTGCTCGTTCACAATTTTACAATAATTAATCTAAATTACATACAATTCATCAAATTAGGTTCTAAACGAAATAGTTATAGATCGGGGTTTATCGCCATTTTTGTCTGCCATAGAATTACATATGGAAGATGAACTAATAACTGTTGTGCAAGGAGATGGTCAGTTTACTTATACAAAGCTATTTAATTTTTATAACACATAAATTGGAATTAGAATATTTTATTAAAGAATCGATTATACTTTTTTTTACTTCCCATCCTTGAAAGTTTTAAAGGTTTTTTTAAAAATTTTCTATATATGTCTTCTTTTTTTCTATTAATCTCATTGTATATATATATATATAATAAAAAACCCCTCCTGCCCAAACCATATCACAAACAAGGACTGATCATATGCACTCCCACTGGCAGTACGGCGTACGCGTGCGCCGCTGGGTCATCCATGGTTAACCCAGGAATACCGGCCATAGTCATAACTCCTATATGTCCGCATTCTCTTTCGTTCAGGCCTATCGTTGTACCTGCTGGGGTTGAAATTAAGGTACATATTTTTTTGATGGACAAATACTACTGATATTTTTTTAGGTAACGTTATCCCCTATATCTAGAAGTTCGGCCTGGGTATCCTTTGATGGTCAAAATAAGCAGGAATTAAAGAAGGACGATAGGTAGAATTTCTTACACATTGTGTTTTGTAGCATAATTAAAAAAAATCTTCGAATCTTGTTTTTTTTCTAACTAATTAAAAAAATATATTTATAGAAATAATGACATATTTTATTTTATATTAATATTATTTTCCTTTAAATTGAAGCCTGATCATTAAAACGTCAATATACCCTGTGCCTTCTATATGTTTTCGCAACCAAATATTTGATTGGTTTGCAGCTTTAGAGAATAGTTTGCATTGGAATCAGAGAAGTCAACAAAAAAAACTTAATCAATAAATTTAGATACATTTTTTTCAAGAAAGCTGAATAATGTTTGCACGTTTAAATTATATACTACTATAACTCAATATAAAAAAACTTCCGCCTAGATTTTATCTTGCAGCGATATTTCTAGTATTAAAAAAATATATTAAGACGTTTATTTTTTTAAAAATAAACTTTAAGACGATATAACTCTAATATTATATATAAGTTTTAGTTTCTTATATTTATCCAATTTTCTATTTTAATGAGTCGGGGAAAGAATCGATGTGTAAATACTTAGAGATTAGTTAGCTATTATTTGTATTCAAATAATGGTAATCGCAAAAAAGAATATAACCTAAAAATCCCTGGGTTCAAAATATTATCTCAAAGATCAACTAGTACCGCAGTGAGGAGAGTTGCGAAGAAAATCGAGAAAGAAGTTCTGATTTTAGTTTGAAACTTAGTTTTTTTTTAAAAAATAGAAAGTTGTGAAATTTCGAATAGATATAAATTCGTATTTCCAAAAGATAATTCACTTGCAATTGAAGTATTCATAAATTGGATTACTTATTTTATAAGGTGTTTGTTAAACAGCTTGATTTAATCGATTTTAAAAAACGACTAATTCAAAATTTTGCAAAAATAATATTATCTAATCCTCAAAATTTTGTTAATAGATGTCCAAACCTTTTTGCCATCTAGGAGCAAAATCTCCAGGTTTATCGAATATTTTTTTTGGCGAAAATCTTGAACTAGCCATTTTTAAAAATTGATTAAATCGAGCTAATTTAACATCACGTAAAAACAAGTTAATTTTTCTACATTTTTTATAAAGCCAAGAAAATAGCTTTCAAAAAATTTAAAACTGGATAATTATTTAACTTTCGAAATATTAAACCAAATAGTATATAGGGATAAAAACCGATTTGAATAAGAATCCAATAATTTAATTTATTAAGAAATAAAAATTAAGTTGAATAAAAAGAACTGCGGAATTTCTAAAAGTGTGATTGATTAACTAAGATTAAATGACTAGGAAGGTGTGGGTGGATTATGTTCTATTGATAACATTTTAAAATCTCGAAATTAATAAAAAATACTTCCTTAGTAGATTGATATCCATTTTCTGCAAGGAATTACATCTTTCAGCATGGACTGCCTACTTTCAGTCTCATCGTGGCAGGGGAGTGGCATCGTCTTTTTGTGGCTAATAGAGTTTTAAAAGGTTCCCTGTGGTTTGGGTCTAGAATAGGATCACCTTCTTCTCAACTGAGTATAAAAACCACCTAAAGGTGTTGATCTCGGAAAGGGCATCCCATTGTGAAAACTTTGCTCCAAAATTTCCTAATTATGATGGGGGTGGCGTACAGCCCAAAATTTGGGAGCATGAGGGAAAGAGTGGGAGAAATGGTTGATAGAAGGCATATAGATGTGTGTTGCATACAAGAGACCAGATGGAAAGATAATAACACAAGTGATTGGCAGGACAAGTGAAAAGTATAAAATTTTCTGGCTAAGGCTGGTTGCAGAGAAATGGGTGGACAAAATAATCGAAGTAAGAAGATCAGATAATGATTATCAAGATGATTTTTATTAGAAAGCTATGCAATATTATCTTGGCATATGTTCCTCAGGTTGGAAAAAATGAAAAGGGAAATATACATTTTGGAACAATCTATTGGTACTGGCAAAATGGAGAGAGGATTATCCTGACTGGTGATCTGAATAGAAATGTGGGAGCGAGTAGTAAGGGTTTTGAGGAAGTACCTGGAGGAATTAGTTACGGCATGAGAAATCTGGAAGAGGAGAGAATTTTGGTGATGCTATGGATATGATTGCTTATAACACAAGTTTAATGTTGTTAATTGGTAAGTTGTGTAAAACCCAGACCCGGGGTTTGGGTCTAAAAATCGACTAAATCAGCTCTGAGCACGAACCCCGAGCACAGACCTGGGGTTCAGATAAACGAAAACCAAGAAAAAATAAATTTCATTTACTAATCTTAAATCATTATACATTCTAATTAAATTAAAGCTTTGTTTATTATTTTATTCTCCATTAATCTCATTTTCTTACCATTTAAATATTTGTTTAAATTGGGGTGCTTTTGGAGTCAATATGACCTAGCCATTTTTTCTCTTCCAGACTATGTTAAATTCACACATAATTATTAGTTTATATATTTATCAATATGACCTAGCCATTTTTTCTCTTCCAGACTATGTTAAATTCACACATAATTATTAGTTTATATATTTAACACTTCAAAACTTTTGTGGGATTTATAGGATATCTACTACAAGCAACTTTACAAAATTTCTTAGTTATAATATCGACAATTATTTCTTGAACAAATTATTTTTTAAACTTTGCCATAATTATTCTTAACGATCAGTATGTGTTTTTTTATATTTTCGAAGTTGTTTATTAACTATTTTTTATTACATTAATTATTAATTATAAAAAAAAATAAATATAGAATTTATTTTTTAAAATTTAACATTCACTATAATTTTAAAAATGAATTATTAAAAATAAAATTTCCGTTTTTTTCAATATTTTTGAAGTTAAGTTTATTAATTATTATTTTTCAGTGTTGTGATGATTTAACGAAACATGTTGACGATTAAATTAAAAATAAAACGCATAAAATATTTTATTATTCAAAAATAATTAAAATAACACATTTACTTTTAAAAACTTGAAAGAAAATGTTGAGAAAAACATTATTTTTTTACGATAATTTTAATTTTAAACTTTTTCAGACCAAAAATATTTTTAGCCGGCTAAAAAATCTGTTAGACCAAGTTTATTAGCCGAAAACTATCACTCTGGCTTTTTGAAGTTATTTTGAAAAGATAAAATTTGGAAGAAATTAATATAAATTAAAGTGCCTTAATGTTAACGGATTTTCTTCGGCAAGCACCTGAAGATTGAGCCGAGTTAGCCTGTATTTAGACATTACCCAATTATGGCAATTACACAAACTATATAAAAAGTGTAAAATAAAGATTATATATATTTTGACTTCAGAATAGACAGGGCAAAAAGAAGCTTGTTCCCCTTCCCCTTGAAAATATAAACAATTCAAAAGTATTCTAAATATCCTATTCAAGCTCAATTTTTCCGAATTTAGGAACTAATGTTATCAAATTTACTTGTTTAATTTCTAAAATTAGAAAAAAATCTACTTGTTAAAAAATAGCGATGAAATTAAACAAATCTGACCAGAAAGTTCGTATTTAATTCTGAACTAGGATGGTATTGGAAATAATCGCTAGGCTACCAACATAATAACTCATTTTAATCCAATTTTTTAAATATTTCTAAGCCATAGGTAGTCCCGTTTAAAAATAGTTTTAACAGGGCTTTACTATCTAACCCCAGAAAATGCCATTGCATTTTGTTATTTCTATACTATAATTTTTATTTGAATTATCAGGAATTATAACAGTAAACATCTGAACCATGGTTCTGAACTCGGCGTCGTGCTCAGAGCAGGCCTTAGCACCAAATTGGGTCGTAAAATTTACGACCAAGCAAATTAACAACACTAACAATGTTTAAAAAAAAATCAGAGAAGCTGGTGACTTACAAGTCGAGCGTTGCTAAAAGTGAGGGGGAGATTATTTGTTAGTAAGGAAATGTGTGTAAAAGTGATGCTGGGAGAGGAATGTATTGATCAGCAGGGACCCGGAGTGAACCGTTAAACCATTATAAACAGTTATAAATATCTGAAACATTACCGTAACCGAACCAATATAATAATTTTTTGAAGGAGTAAAAAGAACCTTTATAAAAAACGGTTAAACCGGTTGAGTTTTTATATTTTAGAAATGGAGATAATTTGGATATCCAGAATTATATAAACTTGCTCTTATAGTACTGGCGGTTACCAACACAAGTTTCTATTGAAAGGGCTTTTTCGGGACTAAAATTTGTGATATCGTCACAACGAACAAAAAGGAATCTATTTATATTAGAAAATATATTACTTATACGTTCAAATAATATATTTAAAAATGAGTTATTTTGCTTATATATATTTTTTTATATATAATTCATAGATGCTTATAATAAAAATAAATTAGGAGATGGTGTTGCTTCAATAAAAAAAAATTATAACCGTAATGAACCTTTAAAAACTTTTATAATTAGATGAACCGAACCTTTATAAATTTCTTCTTAAGAACCGTAAACAAAACATAACAATTATAATTTTTTACATACTGAACCGTAACCAAACTGAACCGTTATAAATAACGGTTGGGGTCCCTGTTCATCAGCACTGACTAGTTATGACATCTCACTTTTAAAGGCGCCAGGATCACTAAAAGAAATTTTGTGCTAAGGTTGAGAGTTAGGAAATTGAAGGAGGAAAGTTCTAGGGTTCAATTCACTACTACTTTGGTGATAAGAGAGGTGAAGATGGCACAAGCATCTGGAGTAAATGACAAGTAAGAAGCCACAAAGGAAGCCTGGATGAGGAAAATTGAGGAGGTATGTGGATGGATAAAAAAGCCGCCTATACATTGGGAGACATGGTGGTAGAATCCGAAAGTAGCAAAAGCTGTGGACGGGAAACGGAGGTGTTTCAAAGAATAGTATAAAAGAAAATAGTCATAACGATATTTACAAAGTGGCAAAAAGAAATGCCAAGAAATTAATATAAAAGCAGGAGTTTGCTTCGAATGTGCTAAAGGAATGGGAAATATAGCCGGATGGCAAAGCAGTTGTCAAAAAAGAGGATGAAATGATAATGATGTTAGTTCAAAGATAGAAGGTCCAGGGAGTAAATTTGGCAAGGACGAAATTATGAAAAAAACGAAAAAAGGGAAGGCAGCGAGTTTAACTAGGTGGTATCAGAAATATTTAAAGGTTCTAAAGACTCAGTTTATGAAGTTAGCCAATATAATTGTAACAGAAGGAACTATTCCCGAGTGTCGAGGAAATGTGATCCTTTCGATTGCATGTCTTATACAGCTATTAAACTCTTGGAACATGCAGGTAAAGTATTTAAGAGAGTTTTTGAGAAGCGGATAAAGGAACAAGCTAAAATTGATGAAATGCAGTTTGGGTTTACATCGGGAAAAGAAAGCACGACAGATTCAATTTTGTGATGAGACAAATGCAGAAGTGACTTGCAAAGGAAAAGAAACTATTATGTATTTGTTGATTGGAGATTTGACAGGGTGTCGCGCGAGGTTACTAGATAAGTCTTGAAAAAATCAGGTGTGGAAGATTGGTTTATTATAGCAGTGATGACAATGTATGTGGGAGCACAAACTGCGGTACGGTAGATGATGGAAATAGTAAAAGATAGGACTTCATCAAAAATCTATGCTGAGTCCATTATTATTTATCTTAGTAATGGATGTGGTGGCTAGAGAGATTCGTGATGAACTTTCCTGGGAGCTATTATATGCAGATCTTGTATTAATGGCAAACAGTGAGTAAGAATTGAGGGATAAAATTAATATATGGAAGATGGCTATGGAATCAAAGGGCCTAAAAATAAATGCAAAGACAAGTGATGATTGGTAGGGTAATCTGAAGATAGAGGAATCCGGAAACTGGCTTTATAGTGTATGTGGGAAAGGAGTTACTAGAAATTCAATGCAATGTACCAGATGCCAGAAATAGGTGCATAAAAGATGTAGCAGGGAAAAGGGAAGTCTGATGTTAGCAAAAATGTCCTTTATTTGTAGAGCGTGCATAAAAGGGGTGCATAATACTGATAACTTAGAAAATGGTGGTTTGAATATTGGCAATGGGTTAACCCTGGGTAAAGTGGGAAATTTTTCTATTTTGGTGATATATGCTAATATGATGTGAGTGATATATTAAGCAAAAAGATATCGAAACAAAATTTCTTTATTTTAAATTTATTTATAAAATATAACTAACTGACTATTAACCTAATAAATTATATACATATACTTTTCAAAAGTAAATAACAATCAATGTAACTATTAGATTATTATTAGGTTAAGTGAAAGAAATAATATAAGTCCGTAAGGTAAAATTTAAGTTAATATAATTCAAATATGTTAACACTAAACACAGATGGTAGTATAGATTCTGCTGTTCAAGGGTCAGACAAGCATGAAGAAGTCAGAGAGAGTCGTCTATTCTAACAAATATAAACGTCTCTCTGAAGTTAAAGGTGAAAGTTTACGTAAGCTGTGTGAGGAGTTGTTTAGTTTATGACCGCCAAACATGGGCAATGAAATCACGATGCCAAATTGGAAAGAACAGAGATGTGGATGATTAGATGGATGCTTGGAGTATCTCTGAGAGAGTGAAAAACTAGCAAGGACATGCGATCAAGAATGGGTATTGAAGTGATTGGAGTGGTAATGCAAAGAAATAGACTATGGTGGTTTAGGCATGGAAGTAAGACAAAAGGTTATGAAGAAATGCACCTTGATAGTAGAAGGATCAAGACCTAGAGGAAGGCCCAGACGACGTGGATAAAGATGATAGTGGCGGATATGAGTGAATCTTACAAATATTGATGCTCAGGACCGTCAAAAATGGAAAAGAAAAATCACAGGGAAAACTGACTAACTTGGGAGAAATCGCCATTAAACGGTGAAGTAGGAGAATGGAGCCTTATGACACTCACCAATATCCACAAAAATGATAGATAATAGAATAAAGGTTTTGGAGTGATCTTCATCAAGTTTCGATCTTAACCAAGTAGTAAATACATGGGGAATTATGAAGAGAGAATTATAAACCATCTCCATTGTACAAAGATAGATTGGTTGATAAATATTTAACAGATATAGCATAATAGCATCAGAGATTTATCAACATCTGATTAACTTAAATAGCAAATAGAATTCCTGTTATTAGCAAACTGTAATACAATAATTTTAAACATTATGAAAGTTGTTAAATTTACCTGATGATCGTTTGTTTTATTTGCCCCACTATTTATTTTATCATAATTCTGACAGTAGAAAAATATTTTGCATTGCTAATGGATTATATATAAAGGCTCATTTTAAAAACAAAAACGCCTTCATACATTTTATAATGTTAAAAATGATGCACGAAAAAGTCAAGATGGTATTTTTTTTGTTATGACGAAGTTGCATTATATTATTATCTTTAATATATTTCTTGTAATATTTACAAAATACATTTAATATTTATTCATCTACCTACATACACATCAGTGTTAAATATTTATTTTCCATTATTTGTTACGCTATATTTTGTGGTTCAGGTCCGCTTTATATACTCTTAAAAATAACAAAAAAACAAATAAGCTAAAATGGCTGTCAAAATGGCCCCTATAAGTTTGAAGCGAAAGATTTAAAAAAATATCAAAAATTTGACTTTTACAGATTAGATAGTTTTTTCTATTTAAGTATTTAATATTAAATTAATATCATTATAAATTTTAGTAAATATCTTAATCAAATATTTAATATAATTATATAATAAATATTAAAAACATTTATAATAAATTTTAATAAATATATAATTGTAATATTTAACATAATATATTATTAATATAATATTTAAAGTAAATAAATTAATTTAATATAAATAAAAATATATAATTGTAATATTTAACAAAATATATTATTAATATAATATTTAAAGTAATTAAATTAATTTAATATAAATAAAAATATATAAATTGTATTAATATAAATTTTAGTAATATATAATTATATAATATGATTTAATTATAATGTAATAATTAATATTATTAAGATAATTAATATATAATTAAAATAGAATAATTTATATTATATATTTCATATTATATATTTCATATTTTATATATTTATAATATTATTTATCTATTTAATATAATTTATTTATAATTCAATATTATATATAATACAATATGGTTAATATTACTAGGAACTCCATTATTAAAATTTTTATAGTAGAGATTTATACTTATTATTCCTATAAATATCAGATTTACTCATATTTTAATTTTTTTCTAGATTTCTAATGATTAATGGGAATATGTTAATATCTTTTCCTACTAGGAACTCCATTAATAAAATTTTTATCGTTGAGATTTATACTTATTATTTCTATAAATATCAGATTTACTCATATTTTAATTTTTTTTTTAGATTTCTAATGATTAATGGGAATATGTTGATCTCTTTTCCTACTAGGAACTCCATTAATAAAATTTTTATTATAGAGATTTATACTTATTATTCCTATAAATATCAGATTTACTCATATTTTAATTTTTTTTTAGATTTCTAATGATTAATGGGAATATGTTAATCTCTTTTCCTACTAGGAACTCCATTAATAAAATTTTTATCGTTGAGATAAATACTTATTATTCCTATAAATATCAGATTTACTCATATTTAATTTTTTTTTAGATTTCTAATGATTAATGGGAATATGTTAATCTCTTTTCCTACTAGGAACTCCATTAAAAAAATTTTTATCATAGGGATTTATACTTGTTATCCCTATAAATATGAGATTTATTTTGTTAGAGGTTTCTAGTTACTTATCTTACTAGGAAATCTATTTATCATACGTATTCTGATTACAAATATTGTTAAAAGGCTCGATTTGAGTCAAGTTTTTAAAAACGGCTAACTCAAATTTTCGTTAGCAAAATATTGATTAAGCCTCGAGATTTAGCTAATAGATGCCAAACCTTTATGCTACCTCTGAGCAAGGTCTGCTGGCTTGCCTAATATTTTTAAGGATAAAATATTGAGTTAGCCATTTTTAAAAATCGGCTCAAATCGAGCTCTTTAACAACATTACTTATAAATAATATGATATAATGAATAAGCATGCATGTTGTAAGAATAATGAAATATAAGCCTAACAATTTTAAAATTACTTTTGCAATTATATCAATAGTATATATAAATATTATTATTGTGATTGATAAATATAAAATAATGATTGCAATTGTATAATAATGCTATATAAAATAATGATTGCAATTTATATATCAATAGTATATAAATTTATATTTATTGAGACTATATATTGATGAAGGTATATAAAATAAAGATTGCAATTTGCATATCAATTATAAAATTATATTTATTAAGACTGTATATTGATGGTGGTGCATAAAAATTTGTATATATTGCAATTGAATATTAATTGTATATAAAATGATGATTACAATTTGTATATCAATAGGTGGTATATAAAATAATGATTGCAATTTGTATTTCAATAGTAATATATAAAATTAGGGTTGCATATCAATATTATATAAAATGGTGTAAATTTGGCATAAAAAGCATTAAAAAATGAAAATTTTGACAGCATGATCATAATATTGATAAAGAGTGATGTGAATTTTTAGGTAAAAACCTAATAATTAATAAATATCTATGTAGGCATATAATAGTTTTCTCTATTTTGAGAATATAAATAATTATTAGAAAATAGTAGATTTTTATTAAATTTAGATTTTATAAATTTATATTGGGCATTTTGCTTTAAAAAAATTAATTGTTCCTGAATGGATTATAAATGATGCTAAGATTAAAATTTCCAGGTTAACAAGATAGCATATTTTAAATTTTCTTTGGTTGGTTGGAGTTCCTAATGGATTATATCAAGTAATGCTAAGATTAAAATTTCCCGGTTAACAAGATAGCATATTTTAAATTTACTTTGGTTGGTTGGAGTTTCTGAATGGATTATATCAAGTGATGCTAAGATTAAAATTTCCAGGTTAACAAGATAGCATATTTTAAATTTACCTTGATTAGTTGGAGTTCCTGAATGGATTATATTAATTGATGCTAAGAAGAAAATTTCCAGGTTAACAAGATAGCATATTAGCAATATATTCTAAGAAGAAAATTTCCAGGTTAACAAGATAGCATAATAGTAATATATTCTATAATTTACCTGGATTGGTTATGGTCTCAAATGATGCTGGAGAAAATATTTTAGATAAACTTTCTAAGCAGGCAAGAGCTATAATATGATTATTTTATATAAGATTAATAAAAAATATACCAGTGCATTGTTTGGATACATGAAAGATATTGTTTTTAAATATCCCTTTACCCGCACATGATGGCTTGGTGCATTTGTAATACATAGTAGTATATTACTATCATATTTTCTAAAATGTGAAGGAATCATAAGGTAATATTTATATATAAAGTATATATTGATCAATCAGCTTGTTAAATTGAGCATACAAATTTTAAGCTTAAGATTTAGCAAAAAGTCATGCGACAAAACATCAAAACACAAAAAAAAAGTATATCATGCGGCAAAGTTTTTTTTAAATATTTTAATTTTATGGGATAATCTATTTTAAGGGATACTCTAGTCTATTTTTTTGGCCGATTTTTATACATGAATTAGATACAAAATATTTATTTTAGCAATTATTCAAAGTTAGCGTTGAGATTTTGCCTCTAAGTATTATTTATTAAGAAATGATTCCCGTTCCTAAAATTTGCTGCCTGATTTTTAAATTTGACACAATTCCTAAGGGTTCTGGTTTCAGTTTAGATCTTGTTGGAGCAATGAAATAATTTAAACACCAAATCCTCTAAAATGAATACCACAATATTTTGAACAATATAATATTTATATTTGCATTTTTAGGAAATCGGGTTCCTATATGTTTCATAAAGGGGATCCGGTTCCAAACTCTGGAATATGTTTAAATATTTTATCTGAAAAATGATTTATTAGTAAGTTTATAATTTTTTGTAGCTTTAAATTGATTGGCTCTTTCAGTTCAGATTACATTAATCATTCAATACCGAAATATTAAATTATAGTATTCATTAATCTATGAAAATTTGGATAATATAGTTATGATATATTACTATAGCATTATACAGTAAAATCTTGATAAATATAGTACATTTCTTAGCTGTGAAGATTATGCGAAATATTGTTAAGAGCCAGTCTTGAAGTTCTCAAAATATTTTAAGCTCTGAATTAGTCAAATTTATTCATTACTTCACAAATGGTTCCTGGGCCCACCTCTAATAGTGAATGCAATGTGGTAGATAGATATATGAAAAGAGTCATTGTATTTTGCTAATCTTAATGATACAAATAATTAGTAAAAATATTAAGGAGCACAAATAGGAAGCTGTTCAACACTTATAGCTAGACCTGTGCTCCGAAGCCTAAATTGACGGAGGTGGTTTTAAAATTTTTTTATCAGTGTCCGGTGGCTCGCTAATTTTGTCGCTGCCTAATAAATTAGGGGCGCCTGTGGCGTGCTATTTATTTTAAAAAATTTTTAAATGAATTTTTTTTTCAAATTACATTTTTCTATAACTTATTTGGGCACTCTTAGTTTTAACATTGGTAATAAAGTTTATTTCATTTCTTAAATTATTTTCTGCTCACTCCTATTTAAATTTATTTATTTTCTCATTTTCAGAAATAGACTTAGTTAGGAATTGCATTTTTACTCAGATCAGAGTCACACCAACACTTGATAGTAATATTCTATTGATTTTTTATTAAAACAAATTAAAATATAAATTTGGAATGCAATCGAAATATGAAGTAAAAATATAAATTGGAATTCAGATTTAGTAAAATTATAGTCATGATTAAATATTTATCAAGATACATGGGACATAGAGAAGTCCTTTTTGCAATGCGATGGAAAAAATTATTCACCTGGGTGTACTGATCGCAGGTAAAAAGAACCTTCCTAGCTAAAATTGCAAGCCTAGGAAGTTCCAGTCGCTTATATATTCCAAAATGTTAGTGCATCCTCTTCTGGTATACTATGTTGGCTGAGTCAAATATAGCATTCTTTCTCAATATTGCTAATGTGGTTTGGAAGTGAATGTTTACGAGCTATTTTAGCTATATAAGAACTTGATGTTTTCCCATTATTTTCACAACTTGAATTTCACTCTGTGAATTTCTATCAAGCTCTAAAAGTTTTAAATGTCTGATTAAAATATGCAGTGATGCCAATTCGAATTTAAATAGTCTGAAACAATTTTAAGAAAATCTCGGATCAAGGTGTCGCTAATATCGAATGTTTAAAATATAATTTTATTAAAAAATATATGATATAAAATAAATTACTTGAAGTTCGGTAATTGGACACTTATTGTCAAGCTTTTTTTGCATATTTTCTTTTAGGCATATGAGACCTGAAAAATCAGATTTGATTTGTATATGTGTTTCTATTTCACCTGAAATAATAATCCTAAATTATTGTTGATCCCTTTTGAGAGGGAGGAAATTCCACCTATTCTCTGAATGCATATATTAACGTGTAAATTCCATACCCATTCGTTATTAAAAAGTTTTAAGGATTGTTTTCTTGTTTTATTTTCATTATTTATCGGAATCTTGAAGGCTAAGGATACTTTCTAGCATAATTAGTATGCTGTGCCAACGGGTAGGGTAATTTAATTTTTAAGTTTTTCGTATTAATTGGATCTGTTGGTGCAATGCATTATTAAGGTATGTATCAGAATCATCAATATCCAAAATATGGCCTGCCTCATTAATTGATTACAGGCATCCCCTTAATTTTACATTTCTAAATCAGCTACTCGATATGAAATGATTTCGCTAATTTTTTTAAATATTAATTCTGGAAATTTTTTTTATCAGCTGTAACTAAATTATAAAGTCCATGCCCTAATCATAAATAGAGCTCATAATCCCCCAATCTTACTCTTCTTTTGACATTAACCCCAATACAGTTACCATCTGTATTATTCTGTTTTTTAAATGAAATTCCTCTTCTATACTATCGATCTCAGATAATATAGTTTCACCAGTATGCTTTTGAGTCACGTTTCTAGTTGTCAGAGTAAAATATTTTAAATCAAAATTTTCATTTAAATGACGAAAACTAAACGATATATAATTTCGATGCTTGAAATGATCTGTCCATAATAAATCAAAAGTGGTAGATGATAATTTTGATCCAGAATCAATCAGATTTAAAACATTGGCCTTTATAGATGAATAAGCATTTAGTTCACACGAACTAATGGTTGTCCTGTCAGACAATTCTGACAAGGAATCAAATATCATATTTCTATTTTTTTAGTCAATTTATTTTTTAATAATCATTTTATTTAAATTTCAAACCTTTAGAAAATCATCTTATTGTTTATAGAATCAAATGACATTAAACATAAGCAGCATATAACATAATTTCGCCCTATTAGATTTATATTTATTTTATATATTAAAAAGATATTTAAAAAACATTAAAATAAATAGTGATGTATGAATATGAATGAATATAAATGATATGTACTATTTTATTTTATGCCAATAGAATACTATTCATAATTTAATTTTATTAATGTTTTAAATAATAATAATTTAATATATAATTATAATTCTAAAAAGTAAGAACGCCGGGCCGCCGCCATAAAAAAAATCAGCGCCGAGTCTGGCGGCGCCGCCCATCTTATTCTTTGGCTTTTCAGGCTGAATAAAATTGCCGGGATAGGTAGGTGGCACCAGGGTTTAACATTTGCTCAAAATTCAAAAATCTTCACAGATCGTTGCTCTTTTGAAGATCAAAAAATGCGAAGATTTTTTCGCTAAAAAAAATTTTGAGCTTGCTCAAAGAAGATTTTTGAGCAAAATAAAAAATATTTTTTGTAAAAAAATCTTCTATAATTTTGAGAAAATATTTTGAGAATTTTATAATAAAATAAAATCTTTTGTAAGGAAATCTTTATTAAAATATTTTTGAAATTTTATTCCAACTGTAGCTGATAACCTTAAAAATTATCTTAAATATAAACAACTTGAAATAAAAGTAATAAACCATTTTATATATTTATAATTTTTGTTTTCAGCAAACACAGAAGAAAAAGTAATATATATGCTACTAAGGGCATGAATATTTGGCCCATACAAGTGGTAAAAAGGCCGTTTACCTTACTTGTCGCAAAAGATGTGGTGGTAGAGCCAAATTAATGATTGGTCTCGATTTAATTATCACCATCCAACATTCTTTAGAATGTCAAAACTTGGTAGCAGGCATAACTCCTAATGCAAATCAAGATATCCTTACAATAATTTTAACATTGATTTAAAGATTTAGCATTAGCCCCTCCACCTTCAAGTTCAGTTGCCCTGGCCATTACACATCAAGGTATTTTTAGTATACTTTTATTAAAATTAATTTAAAATTATTAGCCCAAGTTTCAATAGCCCTTTAAACTTCTAATGCATATCATGGTATTTATATATATATATACAATAATTTTAACATTGATTTTAAGATTTAGCATTAGCCCTCCACCTTCAAGTTCAGTTGCCCTAGCCATTACACATCAAGGTATTTTTGTATACTTTTATTAAAATTAACTTAAAATTATTAGCCCAAGTTGCCCCTCAAACTTCTAATGCAAATCAAGGTAATTTATATATATATATATCCTTACAATAATTTTAACATTGATTTAAAGATTTAGCATTAGCCCCTCCACCTTCAAGTTCAGTTGCCCTAGCCACACATCAAGGTATTTTTTGTATACTTTTATTAAAATTAACTTAAAATTATTAGCCCAAGTTTCAATAGCCCCTCAAACTTCTAATGCAAATCAAGGTATTTATATATTTATCCTTACAATAATTTTAACATTGATTTAAAGATATAACATTAGCCCCTCCACCTTCAAGTTCAGTTGCCCTAGCCATTACACATCAAGGTATTTTTTGTACACTTTTATTAAAATTAACTTAAAATTTTTAGCCCAATCTTCAATAGCCCCTAAAACTTCTAATGCAAATCAAGGTATTTATATATATATATATCCTTACAATAATTTTAACATTGATTTAAAGATTTAGCATTAGCCCCTCTACCTTCAAGTTCAGTTGCCCTAGCCTTACATATTAAGGTATTTTTTGTATACTTTTATTAAAATTAACCAAATCAAGGTATTTATGATGTTTTTATTTATAACATTAACTTATATTTATTAGCTCCACAAATTACAAATTTTACATTAGCCCCTCAAACTTTTGGTTTTGCCATAGCCTTTCAAACTTTTATCTCAAATCAAAATAATTCAGGTGCTTATCATGTTATTAATTCAGATGTTGGAATTGAAACTATTCAATACACAAATTGACAATTACTAAATTATATGTATAGGTAATTGTGATCTCCCTTTAGAAGTAGCCAATGTGTTAATAGATTTACATCAAAATATTAGTGGTAAAAATATGTTTATAAGGCTATTTTTTTTTAATTTAAAAAAATAAAATTAAATATAGAATGTGACATATTATAGTAACCCTTGATGTATAATATAGCTAGGCTATTTTTTAATTATATTTAGGCATGACCTTGGAATAATTAAAAAAATATTACATCTTTTTTAAAGATAAATAATAAATCAATAATTATTTATTTGCTTTATTTATTTTTTTAAGTATCTGGTTCTGTCTGATCTTTGCATAAATATGAGAGCTCCATATTAATCATATTAATATATGATTTTTACATTAATATAGGATCAGTAGAAGAGTATATCTTAGATACAAATACATTTATAAACCAAATAAATGAATGGTTTTTAATTCATTATGCAGCACTTACCAATCTGCAAATATTATTTCCATAAAAGCCTTCCCAATCTTTTTCAGATGGTGATACAAAAAAAAAATATTTGTTGGATTTTTATCATGAAGATGTTAAAGTATCTTATGATGTTAGCTGAATAACTATGTTTATAAGATTAACTATGGTCGATACAGTCCCAAAAATGCTATGGATGCTCTGCATTATTTCAAACACATTTTAGATTATATTTCCAATGTATTAAAAGGGTTTATATATATTAGCAACTCTTCCCAATAGTAAACTAATGAGAGAACATTCTCTTTTTTAAGAAGAATAACATAGCCCTGCAGAGGTACCATTTGCAGGGCACGACCCGGATTTTTTTAAAGATTTTTACGGCTAAGCTCAATTTTCAGGCCCGGCCCGGCCTTTTTTAAAATAAAATTTTCAGGCCCAACCCGGATTTTTAAAAAATAAATTATATTTATTTTTGATTTTTATAGCTAATAATAACGTTTTCAAATATAGGCTGTTAAAAAAAATTTTCAGCCCGGCCTAGATGTTTTTTTTAAAAAATTCAGGCTCAGCCCGGGTGTTTATTTTTAAAAATTTCAAGCCCGGCCATACTGTCCAGCCCGGGGGCCGGGCCTGCAGGTCAAAAACATACCAAGAAGTACAACTTTTGAAAGTAGATTGAAAGGTTTGGATCTTTTAAATATTAATAGGCATTTGACAACAAGCAAGGATGAGATAATTGAGTTAGCTCAATCCCAACGAAGATTGGATTTTACATTGTAAATATATAACATACAAAATACAATTATTCCCTGAGCTTTTTATGTATTAATTTATATTCCTAACATTTAAATTTTTTATACTTTATATATAAATTTTAAAGCTCAAAAAAATTCAAATTTCTATTTTGGGTCATTTAAGTGATTCTTTACATATAATTTTTTTATAATTCACATTAATTTAAAATTGTGTATTAGAAATAGTTATTAGTCCTGATAAATTTATGCTTGATATTTTTAAAAAACAATAATATTTCTTAAAATATTTTATTAGCCCCCCCCCCCCCCCCCCAGACCAATTTCCTGCGTACGCGCCTGCATTGGTGTTACCCTTGAATAAATTGTTGTCTGATGAGAGATTACCAATTTATGACTAGGGAGTGATTCTATCCATTCGACCACCAAGTTTGTCAGATGATTGAAGGAATTGAATACAATCTAAAATTGGATTGACTGATATATCGGTTTGGTATTTCGAAATTAAAGATGTGAAAAATTTTTATTTATGTGCGTATAAACACAAAAATATGGAAAAGGTATTTGTTTAATTATATATAAAAAGATACAGGAAAGAGTTTTAAACAAATTTCAACAATATTTTTCTAAATTAAAAAAGAAGAAGAATGCTTTTATTACTTTTATATTTTCTAAATTTAATAATAAAATTGCAAAATTAGCATATCCCTTAAAAATAAAATAATAAAGGCAAACTTATTTTTGGCAGACAAAATAAATCTAACCAGAAAAAATTAAAAAAAAAATACTATACCAATAGAAACCATTATCCTCAAAGGCATTTTTAAAAAAAATTTATTTAAAAAAAGAAGAAGTAAGTTATAACAAAACAAACAATGGAAGTTGTAAATATTCTATCAATCAATTCAATTACGTATAAAAATTGTCATTTATAAACAAATTAATATTTTTTTTTACTTCATAAAATGAAATCTACTTATAAACCTCTAAAATCATCTAACGCAAATTTGAAAATTAATACTTTAGCCGCCAAAAACTCTTCTGTAACATCCCAATTCCAGACGAATACGGTATCAGGATCCAAAATTTTTGTTTCGGACCTAAAAAATGAATTATCCAACTCTCAGCCGTCTTATTTATTACCAACCAAGTCCTCAAATTTAAAAGTCAAAGAAGTTTCTAAGGTCGAGATTAATAGCAACTCCAAAAAATTATTAATCAATAAGATCCACAAAAATGTTATTCCTAATAGTCATATTCCCCCTCCATTTAAATATGTTAGGCAATTTAATCCTGAGACTACTGAAGTGCCAATTGATCAATTTGTCCCCAAAACTACAATTGTAGGATTAAATTCCGTATCTAGTCTTAAAATTGGTTCATATTTAGCTGAGGTTAAAAAATTAAACTCACTTAAAACAACGAGAGATTCTGCGTTTTATTTGGATGCCTTCCAAAATTTAGAAAAACCAGTAGTTAATTTTATAGCCGATGATGCCACATTCGTCAAAGATGAGGTTAATGCAAAAATTGCAATCTCTAAGCACGACCCCACTTTAATTTTAAAATCTGAGCAGCATACTGATCAAATTCACTTTGAAAACAAGATAAATACGAATATTGAAAAATCTATTTCAAAGCATTTAGATGAGGGCCATGTCAGCATGACTTTTGGGGACCCCTTAGAGAGGCAGAGAAATCGAGATATTAACTTGAATCCTGACAATAATAGATCGGCTGGTGATGTCTGCATCTCTCAAATCCCAAAATATAAAAACATAAACAACCAAAACCTAATTTCAAATAGTAGTGAAAAAAAGATATTAAATAAAAACGAATCCAAAGTAATCCTTAAATTACATTGGGTTGAGCCTAAATTAGGAACAATTATACCAAATTATGATACATTAAATAAAGAAAGCCAATTTAAATCTTTCTACAAAAATGAGCTTAATTCTGAGTATCACTGCGATAGAGTTGTGGCTATAAACAGCGGTTCGAATAAGATTACTCAGGGATTATTAAACACACAAACTACTCCTAACTTTCGGGACAATACCATTAATTCTCCTGATGGTTTAAACAATACAAAATCACAAGACCTATCTGATTGCGAACCCCCGCCTTTACCACCGAGGATCTTTTATTCGTAAAATATGTTTTTATGTACTTTCGATCTTCGATTTGAAAATAATTAAAAATATGAAATAATTAATTATAAACATCATAAATAATTACAATTTCAGAAGAGTTTCAAACAATTTTATTTAAAATTATTAGTTATAGACAGGGTTGTGCATTTGACCGGTCAAATACGTTTCGGTCAATTGACCGATATTTGACAGGTCAAATATGGTCAAATACGGTCAAATGGGGTCAAATTCAAATATATGTTTTTTTAAGTTAATATTAACTTTATTTTGAATATAATAGTAAAATGAATCTATAATATTAATTTTTTAAATTCATTGTCATTCAATAACTAACATGTAGCTCTCTGTAGCAGAGTTTTGTTCTGATTCATATTCAATATTATCATTTTCTTTAATATTTTTTAATCAATTTTCCTGATGTCTTAGATCTTCAATCGATTTCCATTTTCATAAGAATATTAACGCAAATCGACCTATTTCTTTCTAAAGGAGAAGTAGAACTAGGAATTGTTAGTCTCTTAATGGGCAGGGTGGACAAAGTTTAATCTATTAACTAGGTCGGAATTGATTGTTTCTGGTTACTTTCCACATAATTTGCTATATTAAACATGCTGTTTTTGCTTCTGAAATTAATTATATCACTTAAAATATTTTGGTCATCACTACCTTGTAAAATAACTAATTCTTGAATTATATCACATACTTGTGAGTTTTCCTCTTGATATTGTGGACACAAAAAATAAGCAAACATTGTGATCACATGTATTTACATCGTTTTTCCCTTTTTTAAACATATTTTTAATTTATTTTTCATTTAAATTTTTTAGAGTATTTGACCGTATTTGACAGGTCAAATACTTCTAGGGTCAATTGACCAGTCAATTGACTGAATTTGACTGGTCAATTGACCGACTTGCCAACCCTGGTTATAGATCATAATTGGTTATTATAAAAAATTTTTATAGATATTAAATCATCTTTTATTTCTTAAATATAAACAAAAATTTCAAATATTCAATACTATATTATTTTTAGATCAAAGCCCAATAATGCACCTCGTCATGTGAATGAGTGTCACATTAAACATAATGCAAGACGATCAATGAGTATATCAGAATTAGATGGAATGGAGACTTGTGTTAAAAATCTTGCTAATATCAAAAAACTATACAGGGTTCAAGATAATAATCTAATTTTTAATAAATCTATCCTTTATCCCACTGCAAATATTGAGAAAATTCCTGATTACTCTAATTTTAAGAGTGGTATTGATGGAAACAATCTCTATGTAAAAGATGGAAATCGAAATTGGCAAAATGATGCTGAAAGTTGTGAAACTCTAAATAGGCAAGAAGGTGAGACTGGGAAGAAAGAACATGATACAAGAATAAAACGCAAAAAATCAGTTCTTCATAAGCTTCGCAAATCTTTTTCGACTATCATGACCCCCAAAAATAAAAGAAAGTTACCAAACTGACCATTAATAATTTTCTCATTTAATTTTATCTAAAAATAGTAAAATTTTGAAGTTATCATTAATTTAAATATGCAATTTAGTCTTAATTTAATAAAATTATATATTATTTATAAATATTACTGATCAAATTAAACACTATTTTTGT